GAGCGCATTCGAATGGGCTGAATTCGAAGCGCATCAAGCGACGCTCGATGAAGTTCGCTATGGCGCTGATGTGGCCGACGGAGTAAGAGACCGCATCTGAGACCTCCCTGATCTTGCTGACCGTCTCCTCGTTGAGGGCGCTGAGAACCTTCAGGACAAGGGCGGCCATCGCGACGAAGATGGCGACGCTGACGAGGCGCTGATCATACGTGCTGATGCCAGCCCCCGCGACGCGAGCGACTGCGGCGGCCGCGACTGCGGCGCCCGCGGCGCCCATCGCGAAGGCCTGCATCCTGCCTGAACCAGTTGCCTGAACCCTGAGCCGACGCCGCTACTGATCTCAGGCGGTGGTCGCCTGAGCGCGTCGTCGTCGTCGTCGTCGTCGTCGTCGCGGGGTTCCTGAGAGGACCTCTGGAGGAACTCAGGGGGGGGGTGCGCCTTGACGGCCGGAGGCCCGAGGAGGGGCCGCGCAGGGCAGACGGAGGAAACCGAAGCCCTCGGGGGAGGCCCCCGTCGTCGTCGTCGTTGTCGCGGTCGTCGTCGTGGTGTTCCTGAGGAACCCCTGTCCTGACCCCCCGAGTCCTCCTCCTCCCCCCCCTCCTCCCCCCCCCTCCCCCCCTCTCCTTCCTCTTCCCTTGCGGCTCATTTTGCGCCCCCGTTAGAAAAATAACATATCTTCGGCCTTCCAAAGGGGGGGGGTCCATCCCAGGGCATCGCCCCGCCCCGCGCCGTCGCGTTATCTCAGCACCCGCGGGCCCCGAAATCACGAGAGTACTCAGAACAATCAAAATCGGAGTAAGAGTACGGATGAGGATATAAGATCAATAATTCGAATTACAGTAACGCATACGAATACGAAGAATGATCATGCTATACACAAGAGTAAAACTAACAACAATATTAAGAGTAAGAAGACGAACAAGAGCAAGAGTAAGAGTAAGACTAAGAGTACGACTCAGAGCAAGACTGGGAGTAAGAAGATGAGTGAGACCACGAGTGCGAGCAAAAAAAGGGAACGAATAAAAGCAATAGTAAAAGTAAGAGAACTAGTGCTAGTAAACGTAGCAGTATAACAATACTGAAAATAATAGAAATAGGGAGTACGCTTACGAAAAAGAGTACGACTCAGAATGCGAGCACGAATGACCATCAGAGTTTCGCCCCGCCACGCACCCCCGCGTTATTCTAGCACCCGCGCGACGCGGAAATTCCGAACAGCCCGAGGCGCGCCCGCACAGCGATTGGGAATGCGAGTAAGCCCGAGCAGAAGTATCACATTATAAACATCATACAAGCTAACTCTGCTTAGCCCTGCCAGCCCTGCTAAGCTTGTCCAAGCCCTGCTAGGCCTGGCAAAACTCGGGCAGGCCATGCTTAGCCCCCCTTGCTAAGCCTTGCTAAGTGCTGAGCCCTGCCAAGCCCTCTGAGACCTGCTAAGCCCTGCTAGGCCCTGCTTAGCTCTGCTAGGCCCTGCTAAGCCCTACTATTCCATGCTAGGCCCTGCTACCTGTAAGCCCTGCTCAGAGCTGCTGAGCTCGGCTAAAAGCCCTGCTAGGCCCTGCTAACCGTTGCTAACCCCATGCCATGCACTGCTCGGCCAAAGCCCTGCTACGCGTTGCGGAGTCCTGCTGAGCCCTGCGGAGCCTTCCTTGCCAAGCCCTGCGGGGCCCTGACAAGCCTTGCTAGGCCCTACAACGCCATGCTAAGCCCCTGCTCATTCTTGCGAAAGCTTGCTAAACCCTGCCTAGCCCTGCTGCGTCCTGCTAGGCCGTGCCACGCCCTGATAAAGCTTGCTAGCAATGCGAAGCTCTGCTAAGCCCTGCTAAGCCTTGCGGAGCCCTGCTCAGCCTTGCCAGGCCCTGCTAGCCCTGCGAAGCCCTGCTGAGCTTTGCTGAGCCCTGCTGAGCCTTGCTGGGCCCTGCGGAGCCCTGCTAAGGCCTGCTGAGCCCTGCAGAGCACTGCTAGGCCCTGCTAGTGCCTGCGGATCCCTGCTGAGCCTTGCGGAGAATTGCAGAGCCGTGCTCGGCCCTGCTGAGCCCTGATAAACCTTGCGAAGGCCGGCAACGGCATGTTTAGCCTTGCTTAGCCGGGCTCGGCCCTGCTAAACCTTGCTAATCCCTGTTGGGGACAGGCCTGCTAGGCCCTGCTAGGCCCTGCCAAACCCTCCTGGGCTCTGCTTGGGCCCTGATAAGCCATGTTAAGCCATGATACACCCTGCTACGCCTTGCCATGACCTGCTGGGCCATGCTAAGCCCTGCAAAGACTTGCTACGCCTTGCCAAGCCCTGATAAGCCCCGCTAGACCTGCTAAGCCCTGCTAAACCCTGCTAAGCCCTGCCAGGCACTGCTGGGCCCTGCTGAGCCCTGCTACGCCAACTAAGCACTGTTAAGCCCGACTAAGACCTGCTAGGCCCCGCTCAACCCTGCTATGCCGTGTGCTGGGCATTGATAGGCCCTGCTGGGCCCTGCTGAGCCTTACTACGCCCTGGTAAGCTTTGCTACATCCAGATAAGCCTTGCTAGAACCTGCTGAGCTCTGCTAAGCCTTGCAAAACCATGCTAAGCATTGCTAAACCCAGACAAGCCTTGCTAAGCCCTGCGAAGCCCTGCCAAGCTATGCTAAGCCCTGCTAGGCCTTGCCAAGCCCTGCTAACCTCTGCTGAGCCCTCCTAAGTCCTGGTGGGCCCTGATCACCCTTGCTAGGCCCTGCTGAGACCTGCTGGGCCTTGCTGGGCCTTGCTAAACTCGGGTAGGCAATGCTCAGCCCCCCCTGCTTAGCCCTGCTAGGCCTTGCTAAAACCTGCAAAGCCCTGCTAAGCCCTGCTGAGCCCTGCTAAGCCATGCTAGGCCATGCTAAGCCCTGCTATGCTAGGCAAAGCCTTGCTAGGCCCTGCTAAGGCCTACTATTCCTTGCTAGGCCCTGCTACTTGTAAGCCCTGCTCAGGGCTGCTGAGTTCGGCTAAAAGCCCTGCTAGGCCTTGCTAACAAGTGTTAACCTCTGCTATGCACTGCTAGGCCATGCTAAGTTCTGCTAAGCCCTGCTATGCTCTGCTGAGTCCTGCTAAGCCCTGTGGAGCCTTGCCAAGCCCTGCGGAGCCCTGCTAAGCCCTGCTAAGCCTTACTAAGCCTTGCTAAGCCCTGCTAAGCATTGCTAAGCCCTGCTGAGCCTTGCTAAGTCCTGCTGAATACTGCTAGGCTCTGCTAAACCCTGCTAAGCCCTACCAAGCCAAGCTAAGCCCTGCAAGGCCTTGCTAATCCCTGTTAAGCTTTGCTAAGCCCTGCTCAGCCCTGCTCAGCCCCGCGGAGCCCTGCTCAGTCCTGCCAGGCCCTGCTCAGCCCTGCTAGACTCCGCTGAGCTTTGCTGAGCCATGCTGAACCCTGCGGGGCCCTGCTAAGGCCTAGCACTGCTAAGCCCTGCGAAGCCCTAGCTAGGCCCCGAGTCCCCGCAGCCAGGTCCTCCGGTGCAGCCATAACGCTCCAGGGTGCGGGGGCGTTATAATCCACCGTGAAAGGGGGGGGCGGTTCTTAATGCCTTCTTGAGGTTTGGCACTTTGCGAGTAGTGGAACACGCTCGGCGAGTGAAAGCCTCTCGTGGTCGAGGGGGGAGGGGCGGCCGCCGGAGCGGTGCCTCGCGAGACCGCCAGAGAGCGGGGCGGCCGCCTCGCTGGGTGCGGGTGCAGACCACCGAGGCTCGCGCCTGAGGTCAGCCCGTCTTCGCGCCCGTGCTCCGTGCCCTGCGCTGAAGAGACCGCCCGCCCCAACACTCCTGTAGGCCAGGTTCCCAAAACAAAGGGTGCCAGGACAGCAGGACCAGGTGTCCGTCGACCAGAAGGAATCGGCGCGTCCAAACAAAACTGTCTCAGCCAGCCACGTTCTAAGAACACGTCGTGCAAACCACCAAAAGGTTCTAAGCATACTGGTTTGGTGGGACAATGGGCAAGCCGGGACGCTTCGCCACCGTTTGATTTCAGCCGAGCTCCCCCATGGAAGGCCAGGGGGCGGTGCACCTTTCTGAGGAAACTCCTGGAAACCCTGCGCAACAACTCGTGACCCAGTCTACGTCGAATTCGCGTCGGAGTCACGCCGGATTTACGTCTGATTCGCCTCGACTTGCGTCGGAGCGTCGCCGCGCTAACGTCGCTCCATATCTGATGGGGCGGACGTGAGGACTAGACATTTGATACCACTACTGCGCGCCGCGCGAGGCTTCGAGGAACTTCCTCCTAGCAGCTGCAGAAACATGGACTTCTGGAGGTGCGCGCGGATTTCTTGGATTGGCGCTGGGCCCCACTGGCGGCGCCTCCGGCGCCGCCCCTGGCGCGCGGAGCGCGCCATGGAGGGGGGGACCAACGCCGATCGAGAAAATCCACACCGACCTCCGACCACCTATGTCTACGGCATTTTTCTCCCCTCAGAACCGCCAACAAATGTCCACATCCTCCGTCGGAGTAGTCGGGGACGCACTAACCTGGGTCACCGCTCAACCGGGTCAGCCGCGGCCATGTCTCGGGTGTTGCTAGAGGTGCCCTGAGCCCAAGGTGCCTCCAGGCTTTCCAAGGAGGCCCCCGCGGCCTCCAGAGCACCTCTCACGAGGCCCAGAAAGCCCCAAGAGCTCCCAAGTTGAACGAAAAGCTGGGGGCACCTTGGGCCAGGGGAGCCTTCAGCAACCCCCGAATGCCACGAACCTGGGCCACCCACGAGGTGGCCCCCAACCCGGCACAGCGGAGGGAGAGGGGGGTCGGTCGGCTGCACGCGGCTCCCCAAGCCAGGTCAAGCGGAGGGGATCAGAGGGGATTGGCCGACCCCTGCAAGCGCTGACACTGTCACGCGCGCCCGACACGGCTCCTGGCTCTCAGCCCTGGCGATGCATCGGCGCCGTCGGCGTGAAGAAAATCGGGCCCCACATCGAGACGCATCGCCTACGCATAGGCGGCGCGTCGCCGTCCTCCGTCCCCATCTACTTCGACCCCAGCTGGGAGGCCTGGATTGAGGCGGGGCTGGCTTCATTGAAAAAACTCGGCCAGCGGCTTCTCGCGGAGTCTATCGAGCAGCCGGGTCGCGTTCACGACGCTGGCGGCGGCCTACTAAGCTCAAGCGACACACTGCAAGTCCGCAGAACCATTCAAAATTCATGCCTCAAGAGAGCCTGGGCTTGAAACGGGCCGGGGCCTGGAAGTCTGAGGAGTAGGTTAGGAGGCAACTGCCAGTCTCTCCATCGAGAAACCACTTAGCCGGATTGGCCCGGATCGAGCCCAAGATTTAAACAATGTTCGTTGGGATCAATCGGGATGAAGCCCGATTGCGCAGGCCATCCCGAATAAGCGGGATCAAGCCAGATTGCCACGGATTTGCCAGCGCCGATGCTGAATTGAACCTCTCAGGAGTTGCATCCTGAGAGTAGGGAGGGCGAGGAGGGAAGACGAAGTGGGGGGGAGCAGGGGCAGAGACAGGAAAGGAGGAAGACTGCGGGAAACATGAGAAACGAGGGATGGGGAGAACGATCACTCCGCAACCAACTTGGCTCAGGTCTGGACACGCTGCTACATGCTATGGGATTTTGGCAACGACGTCCACGCAATGCCTGCGTGACTCTTCTATCTTCCGCACCCGCAACCGAGGGTTCCTGCTCGCTGTCTGGCGGTTTCGGCACGACACTCCAGGACCAGGCCCGAACCATGGATTGGCGCGCGCAGCCAGGCACCCTGCGCTGCGCGGCCGTCCACAGTCGAGCCTGCAAAGCCCCATGAGCCGCCGCGATCCTGGTCCTGAGCGCTCTCTCTGGACGCCGAAAGTGGGGGGACGGGATGCCTTCGGGTGGCAGTTGCACACAGCACGGGGGAAGGAGGGATCGATGGGTGCGAGCGATGGAGCGGCCTCGCGTGTCCGCCAGGCCGGCGGCGCAAGCCGCCCTGACGCCCTGGGCGTTGCCTACTGGGGGGGGCGATACGGGGGGGGGGGGGGGGGGGGGAAACGTGAGGAGAAGCGTGCACCTCTCGTGCCCCGTGTGGGCCCCAGGGGGGCCCTGTAGGGCCCTCGGGATGCGCGAGAAGTGCATCTCTCTCTCTCCCCCCCCCAATCGTCCCCCATTATGTAATTCCTGGAGTCCTGCCAGGCCACTTCCTTGCCCGGCGGGGGCGCCGGGGCGGATCCCAAGAGGGGGATGGGGGGAAGAGGGAGGGGGAGCGGGAACATCACCCGTATGAGGAGGGGAAGAGGAAGGGAGGGACAAGGGGGAGGCCGACGAGGAGGGGACCGGACAAGCCCGGCTCGGTGACGCTGTGAATCTCTCTGTGTGCGCGGACGCGCGGCATGCGGACCTGGCACTCCTAAAAAGACCCAGTTCTGCGATGCGCAATCAGGAATGGGAGGGTTGAGCAGGAGGATGAAGACGGAGGAAAAGGAGGACGCGGACGAACAGCAGCAGGCGGCAACTGAAGTGGAGGGAGCGGGAGGAGCAGCATGACCAGGATAGGGCGGACGAGGGGACAGGGGGAGGGCGACAACGACGTGGAAGGACCCAGGTCCAGAAACGAAGCCTGCGCTGGGGCGCGAACGCCAATTTTGAACGTCGGGAGCACAACGCCGATCCGAAAACGAGGCCCCAACTGCAGCGGAAACGCCGTTTTGAAACACCGTTTTACAAGGAATACCACCAGCTCTCTGGACACAGGTGGTCTAACGAGATGTCTCTTCCCTCTTCCCCCCCTTCCCTTACGGGGAAGGGTTGATCACTGTTCCCTATTAGTATACATTGCCCCCCCATGCGAAACCCGAGACCATGCGCCCCCCCCCCCCACCATCTCTGGTAAAAGACAATCCAAAACACACTCTGCCTCCACATTCGGAGCATGCGCAGCGAACCCGATGCGGCCTCTCCCCACAATCCCTCTCAAAAACAATACAGAGTACACTTGGCGGCGGCGGCGGCGGCTGCGGCGGGGGCAGCGGCTGCGGCGGTTGCGGCGGTGGCGGCGGCGGTGGCGGCGGCGGCGGCGGGGCGGCGGCGGCGCGGCGGCGGCGGCAGCGGTGGCGGCAGCGGCTGCGGCGGCAGGCGGCGGCGATTCGGCAGCGGGGGCGGCGGCGGTGGCGGCGGGCGCGGGTGGCGGCGGCGGCGGCGGACAGCGGCGGGCGGCGGCGGCGGCGCGGCGGCGGCGGGCGGCGGCGGCGGCGGCGGCGGCGGGCGGAGGCGGCGGCGGCGGCGGATTCGCCCCCAGTAGCTTCCCATCCAAAGACGACTTCTGAATATGCTGCGGCTCGGGGCAGGCTCGGGTGCTACGTATGTGTTGGGAGGGCGGGTGGGAGTGAGCGAGACGGCTTGCGGGCGGGGAGGGAGTCTTGACCCCTCCCCTTACCCCTCCCCTGGACTTGTTCTTGAGGTTCCGCGAGGTGTCGGGGCGTCCAAAACGGCCTCGGCGAGGAAGCCAAAATCATTGGTTTTACTCAGGTTTTGGCCCCCCATGTTGGTCTCTTCAGGGGGGAACTGAACGTTATCCTATCTCCTCATTTGATCGATGGCCTTCAAGATGGCCCCAGAAGGCCTTCCAGGGCTCCCAAGAGGGCCCCAAGAGAGCCCCAAGATGCGTTCCAAGAGTTCACGAGAGCATCTCTCTGCACTCTTTTCTGCAGCCCGTCTTGATCACGAGGGGTAATCCAAGACATCCTAGGAACCTTGTGAGGTGTCATTATCGCGACCTCTGGCTCCTCTGATTAGCAAGCCATGGCCCGAGGGACCTGCGCGGACGCGAGGGGGTCATGAGACGCGCCGAGCGATGCCATGCCCCCAGCCAAAGTGTTCACGCACCCCCTTGATCCTCGCCCCCACCCTCCCTGGCCGCTCCCGACCTCCCGGCGACAAGCATGGCGATCGGCGCCCGAACGCCGGGGCCATCTTGACGCCGCGCCCCTCGCGCTTCAAGCAAAGATAGCACATCCGCAAGCCGCCCTGGCGGCCTCCCTCGGCCTCGAGGGACCTCCCAGGGCCTCCGGCACCTGGAGGCCCGAGACCCTCCGAGACACTCCGAGATAGGTCTTAAGCAGGGTCCACGCTTAGCTCCAGGGGATGGACTTACAAGCAAAGTCGGTTCCAAAAGAAAGGCTCCACGCGTACGAAACAAAAGAACGCGATCACACATGAACCAACCACCACCTGGTTGTCTCAAAGCGTGTTGGCGCAAATGCAGCGGCCAGATGACTTGGCAAAGCCAAATTTCCGACTTATGGCGTGTGCATGTTGGATTTTTTGTTGGCCACGTCAACACTCCCGAACACGACTGCGAAACAAATGACGCCATGGCGACATCGCAGGCAAGATCCGCTACACTTCTGGCGCGCTGTAGCCACTGTCATTGATATCACAATGTCGACTGGACGAGACGGGCCGCAACATCACCCTTGCCATCGTCAACATTATCCTTGTTGTCGCTCTCATCGCTATCGCCCTCATATTACTGTTCGTCTTCTCCCCCTCCTCCTCCTCCTCCTCCTCCTCCTCCTCCTCCTCCTACTCCTCTCACGGCTCCCCCATGTCCCTACCCTCCTCATAGTCCGTGCCATCTCCTCCGCAACCCTTTTGTCATCCCTCCCTCCCCATACCCCGCTGGACCAACTCCTTCGCTGCCCTTCATCCTTCTGGTCCTTCCCTGGTTCGCATCTCCCCCCCCCTCGTTCTTCACCTCCGCTCCGCCTCCCAGAAGCATGCTTGAAGTATGTGTGCAGTAGGGTTCAACATGGGCGCGCATTAAGATTAAATGCGTTTGAGCATGGCTTTGCATAGGTTCTCAAACTGGATCTAAACCCGCCGACCCTGCCGGCGTGCGTGGGGGGCTTTTCCCGTTATTCCCGTTAGAATCGTCGTCGTCGTCGTCGTCGTCGTCGTCGTGGTCGTCGTCGCTCCCCCGGTTTGTTCCTGGGTCCTCCCCCCCGAGCGCGCCAGCCAGAGGGAAATCCAACAACGTGGCACTCGAAGCTGAAGGCCAGCCTGTTCCTTAGATCCAACAACGTGGCACTCGAATTGAAGGGCAACCCGTTCCGTACTGGACCACGCACTACCGCCCCCCCCGTCCCGTGTGCCGGGTCCTCTCCGAGCAGGTCTGATTGCTCTCATTTGGCAATGCACGTCCAAGGCGGTGCAACATAAGATAAACCAAAGACGGCCCAACATACCCTGAAGACGGCATCATTTGTCCCAAGAAGCCCCAAGAGGCCCCGAGAGGGCTACAAGAGGAGCCCAAAGAAGACCCCACGAGGCGAAACTCATTTTTTGGGGTGATTGGTATATGATTTATGTGTCATCGCGTTTTCGGCTTCCGTTCGACTTACGACGCTCCAATACAACCCAAGATGCCACCAGCATCGCCCCAAGCTGGCCAACGATGCTGCCGAAAACGCCCGAAGACGGCCCAAAGACGGCCCAAGACGATCCCACGACCGCCCAAGAGGGCCCGAAGACGGCCGAACACGGCCCCACATGGGCCCCAAGAGGCTCCCGAGAGGGAGAACACCATCCGACATGTCAAGACGTCTGCCCCAAGAGGCCCCCAGGAGGCGCCAAGAGGCGCCCGAGAAGTCCCCAGGAGGCTCCCAAGAGGCGCGAAAACGCCCCAAGAGTACTCCCATGACAACACCAAGAGGGTCAAATCAAATACGTAACACCCCACAGATGGGGATAAGAGTAAGAGGGCAGTGCGACGTCTGCAGTTTGCGATACTCAGGAGAAGCCCGACGCAGGCGCCAAAGTTCCACAAACCATACAACGAGCCAGCCGCAGGCCCCGGTTGTTTGTGTTACACCAATGTGGGTAGGTCGCGGGTGGGTCGCAAATGGGTCGCGGGTGGGTAGCTGTTGGATCGCGGGTGTAGAGGGCAGAAAATCCGTCCCAGAATAATCACCCCGACAAGCGATACCCTTTGGTAAACGCATACAAGGAATGAATCGAACAGGGCAGGGCTGATCAGTCAACGTCCAGGGCCGTGTTAGTAAACGTCAACTGTCAGGTCCGGTGGCTCTTCTTCCCTTGAGGGTGGCTCGCGGGATGGGTCGCGGGTGGGTCGCGGGTGAGTCACGGATGGGTCGCGGATGGGTCGCGGGGTGGATCGCGGGTGGGTCGCAGGGTGGGTCGCAGGGTGGGTATCGGGGGGGTCGCGGGGTGGGTCGCGGGGTGGGTCGCGGGTGGGTCGCGGGTTGGGTCGCGGGTGGGTCGCGGGGTGGGTCGCGGGGTGGGTCGGGGGGTGAGTCGCGGGGTGAGTCGCGGGGTGGGTCGCGGGGTGGGTCGCGGGCCGCGGGTGGGTCG